TTTTAATCATAATTAATTTCAAAAGATCCAGAGTTTTCATTAGCGACAAAACTTGAAAACTTTCTGCGGGAACATTTTGACTGGTAGTTTTACAGATTCAAATTAGGTGTCTGCTTGTTGAAAGTTCGAGAGTTTTAATTTGGAAGTTTTTATATACAAAGAGTATTAAGTCAAAATTTTATACACAAAATATGGTTTAAAAAATCCACAGTTATCATCATTCGATGTAAGTAGGGTGAAAAAGCGATCACCTTCACCTAGTTTCGGAATTACCAATTTTTTTACTGTTTTACTTTCTCTGCATGGTTTCTAATTTCCACAGTATTAATAAATATCTATTCGCCGCTATATTCGGTTCTGAATGGTCTAACGCTACTGCTACGCATTGTATTATATTTTCCCAATATCGCTCTGCAAATGGTATTTCAGTGTATTGTAATAAATGTTTATTATCTTCTACACGGTAAATGAAAAGAGGGGGGAATTATCCTAAAGGAAATCAATACAGGTGTGGGACACACTATATTATCATAATATTACAACAAAAATATAAAAACCTAAAAATAAATTTTCATCATCGTGGGTATTATTTAGGTAAAAACGGCCGTAAACGTAGACAATGTAAATATCAGATGGAAGTTTAACAGAGGTTTATTTTAGCATTGTTTTTACAAGTCGGTGATTCTTCCGTCGTTCTAAAACAATATGTAGTAGAACTTGATTAATTAATCAGATCCTGAATACAATGATCCTGCTAAAATTAATTTGCGGAGGCTTTCTACACCAAGTGGTCAATCAATTGGTCGTAACTTACTAAAATTTGGATCTGGCATTAAAAGATTGTCTAGTGATTTTTGTTAAGTAATTTTATCGAAAATTAAACAATCCAAATGATTGGCACAGAAATTAATTTTATAATAAAATTAGACTCATGTTTGGCCTTTAATAATTTTGATATCGTCATATGAAATATGTCTGCAATGGATTTTGTCAAAAATCCTTTCATTTCAGTTATAGTTGTTAAATTAATTTCTGTTAACAAGTTTTCTCATGTTCTATTTGTTATGAAATTAAATTTAGTGGTTATTAAATAAATTAATATGGAATCGCAACTTGAAACATCTAACTTCGTTGTTTCCAAAGCTGGAACTGAATTCAGTTTGTCAGTAAATTAACATATGCTACTTGCAGGTATTTAGTAACAACTGTTAAATTAATTAGTTCTCGAAAAAGATTTTTGAGAATGATATCTTTATTGTTGTATCTGTTCTTTAATAATTGTAACACAGTTGGATGCAGTTTCTCATTGATTGAGATATCGCTAATGATACTGCTAACTTTCAAAAGAAATAATCTCTGCCACATGGGAGTTGAACGCTATTTTGGGGACGAGTAATATACCTAAATCCTTAATTTTATCAACTCGTTTCAACTTAGTGCCGTTAACAAGGGCCAGTCACGTATCAGTTCGTTGCCGTCGTGTGCTCGGTTAACGTCTTTGACAATGGTGAATTTTTCCAATTCAGATCGTATCGACCACTATTTGTTTCTACAACTAATAATCTTTCGCACTGACCTTTAATGATTCACGAATTCATGAATGAAGAAATGATAATCAACAAAAAGTCGCTATTACTTTTAATTGAAACCAAGAATGTTCATATCGTTTTTATTCGAACGTTTTTCCACTTACTGCACATCGAGGGTGGTGCATGGAGGTTTTGCCTAATTCGTCTTTTTAATATTACATATATTTCGAAATCACCCTGTATAACACTTCAGTTCATTAATTTTTTTCTATTGCTCTTACCCCACTTTATGAAAGAACTAATAGTAAATTGTAAACTCCTGTAGTCCTCCGAAGTATGTATGTGACAAAAAAAAATTAAATTATCAGTGAATAAAAGTTTATTTGTGAATATAACTTCAGTGATGTCATTTATGAATTATAAAAACATTAATGCTGTTGCAGTGTAGAAACTAGAAAAGTTTTGATATTTTGTAAATAATAAATATTCATAAGGTCAAAAAAAAAAAAACAAATGCAAATAAGTGATTAAAAGTTTATTTGAACAGTTTAAACTTTATAAAACTTTGACAAGTAGCTTACAGGAACAACTCTGCCCTTTTAATTTGAGATCATTGTTTAACTTTTCTATGTCTTCTATGAAAAAGAATATTTTATAGTCAATATCTTGAGAGGCTTTATTTTTTTTACATTTTCAAAAAAATCATAATAAATCTCTTCTCTGTTTTTAAACCATTTTCTTTAGGCCTTAATATTGCCTTTATTAAAGCTTGTTCTATATAGGTATATTTCACAATTACAAAATCTCTGAAGATTGAAAAAAAATTATTAGTAGTTGCATAATTTGTAATGATAGACCTATAGCTTTTGACGTATTTTGGTTGTATAGGTGTTGAGATCTTCCATGTTTGGACGTGCAGAAAGCCGACAACTGTTAGCATTACTTTCATCAGAAGCGAAATTTTATATGCCAAAAATTATACAGATACGTGGTTAATAATAGTAGCAGTAGGAGTGTTAGAACCACGTGGCTCTGTAGGGTTGTGCCACTGACAACACGTCTTCTCATCTGAACATTTCTATATCGACCTAGGTAGTACTGCACCAGTACTACTTCCACGCACAAATTTTTAAACTGATCACGTCCTATAAATAACCATAGCCATCTTGCCTCCTATTTTAGACTCTAGCTGGCGCTGCGCTTCATAATTGCACATTTCTTTTGCTATTCCTTTCCACCTTTTTTGCGTATATTACTTGTTTACATATTTATTTAGACATTTACCTCGTTAGATAAAAAAATGTTCAGATGAGAAGACGTTTGTACAATTAAACAGGTCAACAGGTAATTGTACTAGTTTTCTCATCTGAATATTCGATCCTACCCACCCTAACATGCAAAAACATTCCTTCCAAACATTGTTGCACGCTCACTTTAAACTTAATAAAGCGTAGCGCCATTTAGAGTCTAAAATAGGAGCCGATATCACGGTTATTCAAAGGACGTGATTAGTTTAAGAATGTGTGGTGGAAGTAGTACTGATACAGTACTACCTAGTTAGATAAAGAAATGTTCAGATGAGAAGACTAGTACAATTAAAGTCAAACATCATAAAATCATTTGACCTGTTTAATTCTACTTACCTCAGACGAAATAGCGTTCCCGCTTCGTACTAAAACCCATGTATCCAACAAACCAACTTTGGCGGTTACCTGCCGTCTTTATTGTTCAGTTACTAAAGGTATCATCAACATTGGAGGTTATTTTCATTAAAATAACACCCACTAAATGCGATGTATGGATAACCATACATCGCACAGGAAAACAAAAAAAGAAGTCTAGAAGTTCGAGTCAGAATTGACAAACTAACTGTAAAAGAAAAACTAGACACTCACGCAACACGCAAAATATAACAAATTATATCAATACTTATCTGAAACAAGTTTTACGTGTTGAGAACTTCGATAAAATAAATAACCGAATATCCTTCACAAAACAACCAATGATCTGGAAACACTCATAGACACACCATTACCTACGCCTATGAAACTCACGCTCACTCACTTAATAAAACCAGATATTCGTTGAAATGACGTTACAACAATACAATCATACAAAAATTTCGACGTTCAATTAAAACTGGCAATTAATAACCCGGGTTAAATGTCACGAAATGAAAGAATGGAGACAACTTAAGAGCATGACATGTATTTTATTAATTCTTCCTGCAACAGTAGGTACATAAACCATCACGTCAACATAACTAATTAAAACCAATATAATAAAATTCTTGTAAACCAAGACAGGTGACACTTTTAATTAATTGCCACACCGCAACTAATTAATCACCTCTAACTCTGAGAAGCTAAATCGCTCTTCGTAACGCTTAGACAACAAAAAAGTCGCAACAATTCACCACTCGTCACCGAAAAAAATTTATTATTCATTACTTGTCCGCTCTCGTTATACAGATCAGCACGTGCGAAGGGTGCCCTCATCCATCTTTAATTAAATCTATTTTGGAACTTGGGGCCAAAGGTGAAACAGAGAATTTTATTACGAAAAAGTGTGGCCGTTCTGGCGAAAAAAGAGTTGACTCAGATGTTTTCTTTCCATTTTAATTTTCTGATGTGGTCCTTGAAACTTCAGCAAAAACTTGGAAAAAGTTTAATTCTAAAGCAAAAGTTTCTCATATTGAAAAAGGTGTTTTTTTACTCAGTTTAATAAATCTTTTTCTTCTGATCAGATCGCGTTGTTTACTATAAATTCAATTTTTAATAACTTCCATGTCGATATATGTAAATATTTAGTTTATGTGGGAATCGCTGTTTGATAAAATTGCGTCTGCAAGATCTTGTGCAATTTTTATTAACAATACGTTAACGTTGTTGGATATTAAAGATAAACATAAACAAGTCTTGTCGATTTTTAAGTTAAATATTGGCACCGTTCGCACATTTTTTACGTAAAGTAAATAAAAAATTGTTCATTTATTTAAAAACTGACCTTCAACAATATTCGGTTATTTTAGGTTTCGATTTAGCAAGCCGCTTCAAGATTTCATGTACTTCGAAATTACAAGTATTTCATTAAAAATGTATTCTTTATATATATAGAGTGGAATGTTAAACGCAATCGAAGTAGATAAAATACATACATAGCGTTACTATAGATAGATAAAGAAAGAGTGTTTTGATGAGAAGACGACGCACAATAACATACAAAATTAGCGTACTGGACAAGTCAATATGTCCTCACTTTTGGGTGATTCAGACATAATAATGATATTACAGTTCATCACAACAAATGCTTAACTGTGCATTGTTAGCATAAATAACGAATGCTATCTAATAAAGCGTTTAATGTAATATTTTTTTGTGAAATCAACACTATTAAAACATTTTTCTAACTTAGGCTTCGGCAGTAATAAAAAATAAAATACCAAAAAGAGCAAAGTAAAAAAATCTGTTTGTATATTTTACTTTAAGAAAAATGAGGTTAACACAATAAAACATTATGGGATTCGACATATTTTTTTGAATAAACACTTGAAACTGTAGTAATCCAAGAACTGTTTGAGAGAGCACAAATCACTGCTCATACAGCACGGTAAGCGTACTGCTTTTTCCTGGTGTAAGGTTAAAATTTTTTGCTCATCGTGGCATTTAAATAAAACAAATATTAAATTGGTTCCAAATGGGTCGATACGGCTCACTCTCCAAGTCCTATCAACATTTCGAGAAAAGTCATCTGCTAATAAGTGCCGACTTTGATTGTATAGTCCCAAGTGAGCTAACATTTTAAGTAGAGTTCCTGAGTGAGTGAAATAAATTTTTGCTTGAGGAAAAGTCTCTTTACTGGTGAAAAACTCAATCAAGTCATCCCGTGCCTTACAAGCTTGTTTATAACTCAGTTCATATCCATATCCATCTATCCAGTAGTGTTTCAAATCTTCAGCGTACTCCATTACCATCAAATCATTGACAGTGAACACTGAACACCAGGGTGATATTGTTTTCTTATTATTGGCAGTTTCGAAAGCGCAAGTCATATACATGAGATGCACGTCATTCACCGAAAGGTAACTACCAAGACCTAACCGTTCATTAACTGCTTTAACAGTTTCAGCTGTTTCATTGCCACTTCGGAATTTAGCGTATTCGATTTGAGCATCTGGATGCTTCTTAACATTTTTCATCCACCTGTCACACAGTTTGTAAAACCTTAAAATGGGATCAAACTCCGGTGTGTCTGGAAATTCAACGTATTTGTCTGCACCCCTACCAAAAATACCATTAACAAAAGCTTCAGCACTTTTCTCGGTTCTTTCGGAACGGGTATGTTTGAAATGATACATAGAACTGCTGTAAACCGGCCTCAGAAGTTTTGGAAAACGTGTCCGCAGTCGCTGCCCCAAAAAAAACATCTCATCTTCACCTTCACTAGTGAGTTTCTTTCCTTCCCCTTCACTGAATTCAGGTGTCCAAGATTCTAACGACTCTACATTTTTTATTTCTATTGTTTCATTTCGTACGAGCTCCAAAACCAAGTCTCTAATCGCCACAAGTCGTGTTCTAATTTTCTGTATCAACGGGAAGCCTGGATGTCTGGTGCCATGTCTGATTAAAGCCCATAGTTTAACAGCTCGACAGCTGTCATATTTAATTTCACTGGAATTATGGTTTGCTACATTTCTGTACGCTGATTTTGATCCCAAGTGTAGTTCGTGGGGTTTTCTCCAGGCCGGACAAGTGATACGTACCCATAACAAGAAGAGGAGTAAAGACACCATATAATTTAGATTATTGAAAACCATTACTGCAAATTTTGACACATTTTGAGCATGCGGTTAGAAAACAACTAACACGATTTATTCACTTTGATGCCGAGAGAACTATAAAAACACAATCAAAGGCAGCCATGGGTTGTGTTTGATAAGATTTTCCACTTGAAACATCAATTGGAAAGTGTAAGTTTAAAATGCAACAATCCAAGACAAATCTTCAAAAACCGATGGCTGTATTTAATCGAGTCCTGCGACATAAAACGCCCTTTAATACAAACTATAACTCTTCAAATAGATAGGCAACCAATAATTCACCTCGAATATAGATTTACTATCTTCTGTAGATCTAGTATCTGATGACAGATCTTTGAAAGTCAACTCGATTAGGATCTTTTACAGTCACCTTGTATATTATTAGAGTTATTCAAGGAAACTTGAACAACCGCAGTAAAAAAATATACTTTCATATCTGTAAATATACATTCCTCAAATATTGAAAAATGTTCCACACAAATTTCAAGCTTTATTAGGGCTATCGGAATTCTTGCAAGTTTATGTGAAAAATTTTAATCTCAACTGTAAATAGTGCGTTGTAGCAATGTAAACACGGAACTGGTGCAAACATAATGCACAGCCGAGGGGTAAAACAAGGAGAATATTTAATGTACACGACGTAGCATATCCGAGGATATCAGGTATGCATTTATAATGAATCAAAAGATATTGAACAATATTATGAACATCATGGGAAATCACAACAATGCGTAAGCTGTAATGCACAACAACAGGTGCCTCATAACATTAAAACTTTTTCAATGCATTGTTACTTCATCATCCAACTTTATACTGCTTATTGATATAAAATATTCCAATTGAACAAAAAAATCCAGCATATAACAATCCCATTTTACATTTAAATTAGTTCGGCGTTCAAAATTATTTGTCAAAAAAAAACCTAATTTTAATACGAATAACTGCTAATATTATGGAAGAACGTGTGAAAGAAAACAGTTCCTTTGTTATTAGTTAAGATATAAGATGATAATTTGTTTCAACTAATCTGTAATTTCGTTGCCTTGCAACGTTCTATAACTCAAGTTTTTAGTTTCCATCTCGCTATCTATCTGAGATGGTCATCTATCGTCTACCCACCGACAATTTCGACTAAAAGATAATAATCTATCCAGTCATTACAAAATAAAAATTTGTGTTTTCATTCTCTCCGCAAAACTAATGACGTCATAACAAATTTTACACCCAATTTTCTAAAAGGCGTGCTATTTTCTTTTAGGTGAAGTTTGATAGATCGGTTATTCTAAAAAAAAATAAAATTTTCCTAAATTCAGAATGTACGTCTCAAAAAAAGACAAAACGGTTTTTTTTATATTATTAACTACCATTAACTAGATCTTTTCTATTGACTTCCCCTTCGTTTCGTTAACAACATTCATCGTAATTTCAGTGCTCAGTATGTAGTAAACCGTATGGGAGCGATTGTGAGACACGCGCCTTGCTCCCCTTTCGGCTCTGAGGCTTTCCACCACGGGAGAGACCACCATCGAGTCTAACACCAACGCGGGTTAACACCGGAGGAAGTAGTTCGACGGGTAGTGGTAGACTCGGCCAGCGCCATGCTTCGAAATCTAGTAAACTTCGCGGTTGGTGGCCTAAGCAGGCGGATTGATTGTGACGTGAGAGGCTATGTATACGTGTCAACCGTCCTAAAACTGGACCCCAGTAAATGCCTCCAGAGGAGTTTAACTGTTCCCTCATCTCCCATACGAATAGAACTACTCACAAAGCCAAGACCTATTCATTTCGAAGGACCGGACCTTTAAAGGATATCATCGACATGATAACCAATCGTGGAAATCCGTGCCACTACACACCTAGCCTCGGGTCGTTCTAGAAGAATCCGTGACCTAGGTACCGACGCTACTTGCTTGGTAACCAGCTAGTCTCTTTCCGTAAGCCGTCAAAGACACTTCGTCGCAAGGGTCACGAAATACAAATACATACATACAGGGTCTTACAAGCCGAATACCAGTGTAGTAGAAGTACCCGGTACAAAATTTTGCAGCCCTCTTGCAAGGACCTGAAGCCTTGAATAGGCCTAGGCCAGAGCTCCCAGAATGGAAGCAGCGTGTACCACGTGATTTGACTTGGAACAAGAAATGCTATGTTTTCGTTCCTTTTAACGGTAGGTGTACCAAATAGAATCATACTGTTCCTTTCATCCATACGGAGGCTACGCTTACTAGTCCCGGTTTTCCAATCCCGAGGGAACCAGTCTAGATTTCAGTACAGGAGAAATGTTCTTAAACTACTTTTGCAACCAAAACTTACACCCAGAATTGTAGCTAACTACAGCCCTAGTGAAATTAAATATGACGGCTGCCGAGGTATCAAGTCGTGGCTTAATCAGACATGGGGCTAGACATCCAAAGTTTTCCGCTGATGCAGAAAATTAGAACACGATTTGTAGGAATTAAAGAGGTGGTTTTTGGAATTCCTAAAAAATATAACAGAATAAATCAACAATCTAGAGTTGCTAGAGTTTTGGACTCATAAATTTCAAGAAAGGAACAGAAGGAAACTCGCTGATGAAGGTGAAAGGGAGTTTTTGAAGAAAGTTTATAACAATTGTACGTATATGTATACAGCCTGTTACAGAAAAAAGTACATTAATTTTAACTGGTAATAGAACTAATCCAAAGCAATTAAATTTGTAAGTAACATTGTGGCGTAAACCCTTTCGTGATTGAGTTAAAATTAGTCTTGACTATTAGTTATGACTAACAAAGCAGTTTCTTGCGGAGAGGGATAAGAAATGAACACAACACGGAACAAAAAATGTAAACATCTGAATGCAAAGCTGTAATAGGTAATGGAGACCTACCTTGAAATCGCCAAAAATTTCATAATAAATGTTCAAAGTGGCCACCATTATTTTCTAGACAACACTGAAGACGGCGACGAAATGAGTCTTTGACTCTTTGTGACATAATTTCATTGTTTGTACCACTCGTTCCCGCAAAACTTCAAGAATATCAAAATTCTTTATGTTTGCACTGCATCTCCCTGGGCTTCTCCATACACTAGCACCATGTCCGTGTATTCACTGTTCGAATAGCGGGGCATAACTTCACACAACGAAAAGTGAAAACACCGCAAAGGAAAGTCGGAAAGAAACTAACTGTTTTGAAGCTGATAAAACGTTATCGCTAGCCAACTCACCAAAAAATTGGGTAAAAACAAACACTTTCCACCTGATGCATCGAAAGTGAAATTCACGGTCAACAATTGAAGAAATGCATGGCCGGTTCGTTAAATAATGGGAGGTAAAACCGTTTTTGAAAAAATGCCAAATAGAAAAATGTTTTCTGTTGGCGAGTTCTGTTCGTAGTTAAATTTAATGTACTTTTTTCTGTAACACGTTGTACACATTGAACATATTTGTCGGGCATCCTCTTCAATTCCTTTCGAATAACAGTTCTTTCCTTCAATTTGTGATGCATATCTCTCTTATTTCCTCCTTCGCCAGATGTTTCCATATATTTGTAAATCGACCTCTTCTTCTCCTACCATCAAAGCACATTTCCACTACTTATTTCGGAATTCGTTACACTGTTATTCATTCATTACTCTAATAATACTTGGTTCCTAATTTGCTCTTCTAGCTCTTGATTCGTTCTTCCTCCCATGTTCCATTTACAACTTTTCCTCCAAATATTTTTCTTAATATTTTCCTCTTCTACGCTTTTACACTATATATTTCCATCCTTTTTATCTGAAGTCAACAATTCACATGCGTAAGTGAGGACTGGTCGAAGGATGGTGTTATACACATGTGGCGCCACAATAACAGGTTCGTAGGCGAAGAAAGATAAACCACTCTGTAGTCTAGTGGTCAAGGCACCCGTCCGGCAAGTGGGAGACGTTGGGTTTGATGCCCACCGGGGCAGCAACATTTTTCTTCGCTTACCTACACACAGTCAATTTCGCGTTTCTTCACAGCGATTTATTTCAGAGGATTTTTTTTAAGCCAAAGGAACTTCTATTTCCAATCATGATTCTTGCTTGCCCTTCTTGGTTTCTATCTGATTTTCTAGTGAACATCCAAGTATGTAAATTGTTCCACCACTTCAAGGCTGAGTTGTACCCCATTTTCTAATCCTATGTTTAGTTATTCTTTTGTTCCGCTTTTTCCATTCGTTGTCGCATATATTTGGTCCTCTCCTGGTTTATTGTCAACCCCATTGTTTTTGTTGCTATTCCTAATCCCTTTTTTACTGAGTTCAGTTCCTCTCTGTCTCTGGTGACATCATCTGCAAAAACCTACTGATAAAGACCTGATCTACATATTTATTCCTGCTTCTAGGACTATTTTTTCTAGCACAGCATTAAATAGAATCGATGATAAAAAATGCCTTTATCGTAGACCACACCGAACCTCGAGTTTCTCTGTTAAACTCGTCTTACACTTTACTCGGTTGTCATCTCTAGATGTTTAATTAGTTTCCTTCTGTTCCCCCACTGCATCAAATAATTTGAGACGGAATTGTAACAATTTTTGATTTTTTAAATACTTTCTGACAATAAGCTAGGGATGTAATCGAGTCCATTGGACGACTGGATACTTTCATGTTTTCTCGACGTTTTATAACCTCTAGAGTAAGAAAAAATAGGTCTCCCGTTTCCGTCTAACTGTCTCTCTGCCGTCTGACCGAATTTTGATTGGACAGATATTCTTCGAAACTATCGCACCGATATATAATAAGATTTTTGTACTGATGAGGCTGATACGTGTTTAAACTCGATATTAATCTTAATAATAATGAAAAAACTTTCAGAGTTTAAATAATATATTCGTAGTCACTGCTACACGTCTCCAGAATTCGATTTCTTAGGTGACTTGTCTTTACTATTGTTTATTAATTTATGTAACGAATTGTTGGTACGGAAGGAAATTTTATAGCCTGCATTTTGCAGTATTTTTGCAGTTTTAATAGAAAGTTTTCCAAAATGAGTAATAATGTTATACTGATTGGTTTCTT